GTTACTCTCTCTCATTCTCTCTCTATCTCTCTCTCTCGTTCTCTTTCTCTCCCGTTCACTTTCTCTCTCTCACTCCCTCACTCCCCCTCTCTCTCTCTCTCTCTCACTCCCTCACTCCCCCACTCTCTCTCTCTGTCTCTCTCTCTCTCCCATCTCTCTGCTTTTCTCTCTCATTCTTTAGTTCTTTCTCCGTTTATTTTTCTCTCTCTCTCTCTCGTGGTCTCAGTCTCTCTGAGGCACACTCTTGCTCTCCGAGCAAAGTAAAGGTTATTGTTTTCTTTTAATATTTTCATTCTATTTCTATCTCTTTTCGCCCTTACTTATTTTTCTCTCTATCTTGATGTCTCAGTCGACCTCATAAAGCAATTTCTCTCTTTTAAAATGTCAACTGATGTTTCTCTCTCTTGCTCTCTTTATGTTCCTCTTTATCGCTCTTACTGTCTTTCTTGCTCTCTTTCCCTATATTGCGCGTTCTCTCTTGCTCTTGTTCTCTATAACCCTCTCTCCTTCTCTCTCTCTCTCTCTCTCACTACTCCCTTCTATCGCTTGCACTATTTTTATCTCTCTTGTTTTCTCTGGCTCCCCAACTCTTTCTTGAGTTCGATTTCGCTACGTTATTTATCCATCTTCTTTACTCTTTCTCCCTCTCTCTCTCTTTTTCCATCCCTCCCTCTCTCGCTGTTTCTCTGTCTCTCCTAATACTAGGCTTAACGTGAACGTGGTAAATGTGAACTTAGCAGGCATCTATCTCTCCCCCCCCCCCCCCCCCTCCTCTGTCTATCTCTCAGAGGCGTCTTACCCCCTGACACGCACGCCTCCCATTTGGCTGGCTGATGGAAGAGACCGCGATGAAGGATATCGTATCCTGACCACGCGCGCCATGCAAATGAATTACGTGACTGAATCGTTTAACTAACGGCAATTGCAAAGGACGAGCGTAAACCGGGCAAAATTGTATTTGATTTCACGTTGTTTTCACTCACAACAATAAAATGAACTAATTAATTAATGCGATAAAGGCAGACAGAGACAGAGACAGAGAGAGAGAGAGAGCGCGAGAGAGGGAGAGGGAGAGAAGGAGAGGGATTGAGACAGGCTGGAAAGGAAGGGAGAATGGGGGCATGGTCATAGGTCGACAATGCGATATAGTAAGCCAGCATGCGGCCTATGCGACAGCTAAAGAGACGAAAGAGTCTGAGCGAGAGCGAGAGAGAGGGAGAGAGAGAGAGAGCATGTCAGGGGAAAAGCGGGAGAGAAATCAATTAACATTATTCATTCGAATACAATTAATTTTCATAATTAAGCACGCCCGTTGAGCTCTTTGAAGTTGGCGCAACAATCACATCCGCACAAACATCCGCATCCGCATCCGCGCTGATGCTGCTCCAATTTGCAGTGGCCCGGCACAAAGGCAATTGCCGAGGCGAGTGCCAATCTCAGCGACAACAACAGCAGCAGCAGCAGCAGCAGCAGCAACGGCGGCATAAACAGGTGACACCAGAGACAATAAGCTGCAATAAAAAAAACACAAACTCACACACACACACACACACACACAGCCAGTGGAAACACGTTAAAACAATCTAAGCGCGACGCACAAAATGCTCTGCATTCAGTGTTGCATAGTGTTGCGAAAAGCTATTGATCGTATAAACTATCGATCAGATCGCTGGCCATCGATAGTTTTTGCGTATTGTAAAATGTCGAATGAATAAAATAAATGTAGAATGTTACGTAATGTTAAATGGAATTCAGTTATTTATATTATTTTTTGGCCTACGTAAGTGAAGCTATTCCGAAACTGAGTAAAACGAGAATTTGCAAGTTTTCTAAGTTCAATAAGGCTTTATAGAGGGGAACTGAAATATTTAAGTCGCTTTGGCATCAGCATTTTATATTATTAGAGGAGCTTCTTCTAGTACATCCAAAGCTTGCGAGCTCTAGCTCCAATTGTTTCTGAGTACAATACTTTTACAATATATTTTTGTATCATTTTTTGGCTTGTTACGCGCAAGTGCCCACATTTTGGTATTCTAAATTTAAAGGGTATACAAATGCAACACACACACACACACACACACGATAAGCAACATTTTGTTAAGGCCACTTTGCGACATTTTAATTTAAATGCTAATCAGTTGCCAATAGAGTAAAAAGAGACGCTGCAGCTTCTAACTAGCCGACTATGACCATGGCCTCTCAACAACGAAGAGGACATTCTGGGCTGCCGGGCTGCCGGGCTGCGTGTTCAGGTTGCAAGCAATTTGATGCCGGGAGACGCAGCAGAGCTGCAATTTGTATTTAAAATGTCCGTACATTGTGGATTAGACAGGCGCAACAGCCGCAAGGCCTATGACTGCGCGCGGCCAGCACAACAGGAGCAGCAGCAGGAGCAGGATAGCCGGTGCACAGCTCATCTGGTAGATGCTGGTTGGGACATCATTATCATTTGCATTTTTGGCTGACGATGGCCAGGCAATGGGCTCTGGCAGGGCCCATTTATGCAACGTGCACAATAAGTATACCTGATAGCATCAGCAAAGTCCATTTTCGGTGTCAAAATGCACAATCAACAACAACAGCAAAAACACACACACACACACACACACACACACACACACACACACACTATTAATCATGACTGTAATTTGCTGCCTACTCGAAACAAGCTGAAAATTGGCATTGCGAAAGCATGCCCATGGCACGTTACTTAAATTACAAATAAACAAGAAAACTTGCCTACAACTTTCAGCGCTTTAACATTGGCCTACAATTTGCCCCAAAAAGCTCGGATAAAACAAACTTTGAAAAAAGCAACGCACACACACACAAAACGTTTTTTTTTTTTGTTTTCGCAACAAAAACTCGTTATTTTGGCGCCAAACGTAACGGACGATAGCTGCCAGCGATAACTAATAATCGATATGCCGCACACTAGAAAGCTGACTGCTGCAACACGCCGCAGCAAAATATTGTTACTTTGGCGCCAAACGTAACGGACGATAGCTGCCAGCGATATCTAATAATCGATATGCTAAAAAGCTGACTGCTACAACACGCCGCGGCGCTGTCCACTCGACAAGCGGCAGCGATAACATATAAAATGCACAGCTGAAAGCCAGCCGCACCGCACGTGGAGAAATACATATATATTAACGAAAATAAAATAGACGCAGTTTGTTACAAATGCCCGAAATGGAGGTGGAAAATATACAAGTGGATAAGTTTGTGCCCGCCAAGAAGGCGCTAAAGCGCAGCGCCGTGGCAAACACAGACGACGACGTCGAAATGCTGGTGGACGCGGCCACGGGCATCGAGGGGGCAGATCGTGCCAGCAGCAGCGATCAGGCGGCGCCGCCGCGGGCCAAACGGATACGCAGCGAGCTGCGCAAGGTGTCGGTGCCGCCGCACCGATACTCCTCGTTGAAGGAGCAATGGATGAAGATCTTTACGCCGGTTGTGGAGCACATGAAGCTGCAGATACGCTTCAATATGAAGGCGCGTCAGGTGGAGCTACGCATCGGGCCGGAGACGCCCGATATATCGAATCTGCAGAAGGGCGCCGACTTTGTCAAGGCCTTCCTATGCGGCTTTGAGGTGGACGACGCCCTGGCGCTGCTACGTCTCGAGGATCTGTTCATTGAGACCTTCGAAATCAAGGACGTGAAGACGCTGCGCGGCGATCATCAGTCCCGCGCGATCGGTCGACTCGCCGGCAAGGGCGGTCGCACCAAGTTCACCATTGAGAACGTGACCAAGACTCGCATTGTGCTCGCCGACAGCAAGATCCATATACTGGGCAGCTATCAGAACATTCAGCTGGCACGTCGCGCCATCTGCAACCTGATCCTCGGCTCGCCGCCAAGCAAAGTCTATGGCAATCTGCGCGCTGTCGCCTCCCGCCTCTCGGAGCGCATGTAATGGCTGTGATCTTGGGTCTGCGTGGGCCTGGCATGGGCCCAGACTACAATTAAGTTAAGATATTCCCTTCTCTTTTTTTTTTCGTTTTATAATAAATATATATGTACATATATGTATATGGCGTGTGTTTTAATATTCCTTGTGATATAATTGCAGGTGTACTTTTGTTTCTTTTAGTCCGTGAACCGGTTCGAAAGATTATATATACGAACCGGTTCAGAAGCGTATACTGAAGCTTATACTCAACGCTTTGACGAAATTCCCCTGAACCGGTTCGAATGATGGTTCAGAGAGATATCTTGTATGCTGGCGTGTGTTTCAATATTCCTTTTGTTCCTTTCAGTCCGTGAACCGGTTCGCAACGGATTAAACACCTGAGCTTTCCTATAGCTGATCTACTCTAGCTTTGGAACTGAAGATAACGTCGCGAACATATATCGTACGATTATATATACGAACCGGTTCAAATGCGGTTCAGGAGCGAATGCTGAAGCTTATACTCAACGCTTAAATTTTAAGATTTGACGAACCGGTTCCTCTGAACCGGTTCGAAGGGTGGCTCAGAGAGATATCTTGTATGCTGGCGTGTTTCAATATTCCCTTTGTTTCTTTCAGTCCGTGAACCGGTTCGCAACGGGTTTAACACCTCAGCTTTCCGATAGCTGATCTACTCCAGCTTTGGAACTGAAGGTTACGTCGCTTTGCCCAAGCGAACGAATAGCGCAAGTTAATATATACGAACCGGTTCAAAAGTGGTTCAGGAGCGTATACTGAAGCTTATGCTCAACGCTTAAATTAATATAAGATTTGACGAAATTCCCCTGAACCGGTTCGAAGTGTGGTTCAGAGAAATATCTTGTATGCTGCCTAAGTTCAAGATCTATCCATGAGAAATTACTTATCATATATGTTCTGAACATATTTTTTGCCGGTCTTAAAAGTATTTCAGAAACGAAATTTTTGTGATAAAATAAAGATAATAAGTTTTGCGCACACAACTTATTAATAAAACCCTTATGATGAATGCATGACAAACAGATTAAACTTACCCGCATTCATGAGAATCACATAGAGAGGCGTTATTAACAATTTAGTTTTTAATGGGCACTGAATTGGTGAGAGAGAGAGAGCTATAAAATAAATGAAAAACTTGGTGAATTAAGAGAGTAAAATGAGAATACGTTGCCCGCACCAAGTTGATAACTTTAAACTTATCCGTGAATAAATTTCAAATATCTGAAGTTAATTGGTTAAATAGTAAGAAACCATCAATTTTCCACGCTAGCAGGTGGAATTTTGCGGAAAAATTGTCAATATTTAAAGCTTGTAAAGCTTGAAAACGAAATTAGTATTAAATATGGACAGGTTAATTGAATTTGACGAATTGTGGAACTGGAGAAAATGTATATAACGGTAAGCGTTTAACTACGATTCTAGTTCATTTTCAAGAGACACACGTTTTTAGTATTTAGACAAAGAACATGAGCTAAAATGGGTTCCCAGATGGAACCTTGCAAGGGTTAGCAGTTCGCAGCAAATCGTTATAAATAAATAAAACATATATTTTACATTGGACAATTACAATATACACAGGGAACTGAACTACACATAAAAAGGGGGAATATTTGCTGGCTGGGGCGGGCTACTAGTTGTGTAAGTTATACATATACCTGTCCTACAGCTTGGTTAGGATCAGGAGCAGCAGCATGAGGAAGGTGACTGCGGCCAGCACGAGAATGATGCACATCTTTCGATTCTTGCGCTGATACATTTCCGCACGCTGCAGCTGGCGCAGACCCTCGGAGACGCGTGTCTGCGTCTGTTCGACATTGTAATCGATGCGATCCAGTACGGTGCCTTGCTCCTGCACCATATGGCCCAGATCTTTGAAGATATCGTTGAGATCGTATATGGACTTGACGATTTTGGTCACCTCACGCTCGCGATGCTCGGCCAGACGTGAGTTCTCCTCCTCAAAAAGCAGCAGCTGCTGTTGTGTCAAGCGATTTGCCACCGGCTTCTTGAAATGATCATCGATCTCCTGCTCATCATCCTCAAAGAGATACGTATTCGCATTGCTCTTGCTGCCCAGGCTGCTGCCAGCGCCAGCACCAGCTGTGCCCAACCCATCCAGAGGCTGCAGAAAGTTGTCAAATGTGTCCACAAAATTGGCCGGCTCGTCGTTGGGATCGCCGTTGCCAAAGTTGCCCAGTTCGACATTGGTAAACTCGTTGTTGTCAAAGTACTTTTGGGAGCGCTCCTCGCGTGAGTTTAGCTGCAGCAGATATGCATTTTGGCTGCTCCGAAACTTGACAGTCAGATCCTGCAGCTGGAGCAGGGCACAGTGCACCGCATTGGCTGTCAGTCGCTGCTCGACTTTGCTGCCGACGCCCAGGCTCGAGCGTACGCACTGTATGTGGCGATGGGCGCTGGCGATCAGCTTGGCCACAATCTGGCTCAAAACCTCAATTTCGCACTCATCGTCTCTTTGGTCATCGAAGGTGGGTCGCAGCAGGTGGCGCGCATGCAGCGAGCCCAGCTCATCCAATTTGGGCTTGATTCTATGAAAAGCAGAGAGCAGAGAGCATTATTAGATGCACACATGCACACATGCACACATTGGCTTTTGTGGACTTGGGACACTCACTTGGACATGGTGTATTGGGCCTCCTCGAATTTATCCAGCCACACGGGCGGCGTGCCGTAGTCATCCTGCATCTCGAGGCCCTCCTCGGCCTCGCGTACGGTATGCTTGAGCAAACGCTCCGAATCGCTGCCACGCTGTTAAGTTCAATTACAATTACATTTATTTGGCATTTCAGACATATGCATGTATTGTCCATATGGTCAAGATGGCGGGGTCTGTCTTACCCGATCGTCATAATGATTTCGATTCTTGCTGGCATTGTTGCGCATGATAACGAAAACTTCCGTTAGATTGCGCGAAGTCATTTTGGCGTTGCGAACAGCCGTGTTTTGTGTATTGTATAAATTTTAACTAACTTGCGTATATTTTACATTTTATTTATTTGCTATTGGCTTCATACCAATGGCATGATGAAATAATCGAACATTCTGTATGACTATCGATTAATATGCGCAACATATGAACCAAAATCAGCTGTGCGCAAAATGGAGCACGTTAACGCATAGTTGAGCTATGTAAAAGTACGAACAGCATACAAAAATCGAACATTCTGTATGACTATCGATTAAAATGCGCAGCATATGAACCGAAATCAGCTGTGCACAAAATGGAGCTATGTAAATGTAGTAACAGCAGCATTAACGCAAAATAGAGCAATGTAAAAGCATAGCATAGCGCAAAACAGTTATGTTAACGGTAACTCTTAACGTATTTTCGTTTGTCTATTAAAATATATTGTACATGAATTTTGAATCAAGTTAATTATAATGCGCTTTAAGTACACAACAAATAAGGAAAAAGAAAAAATTAATTAAGAGCTTTTACTCTTTGGAAAACTCGAGGCTAGCAATAGATTTGACAGCCTATTAAAGGGCAGCTCAAAAAACAGGGTCAACGGAACAGAGAGCACCAAAACTATAACCAAATGTGCCACACACAGGAAGATCTGTAAGAAAATTAACGTAAATATATGTGGTAAAAAGCCAATGGTAAACGCAAAACTTGCCAAAAGGCCAACATCGGCTGGAATCGCATCGCTGAGAGAATAGTATAAATTGAGTATGATCAACGGGTTTAGTAAATATAATGCATAGGTTAAACGATTGAGAGGCTGAAACCAATCCAACTCCAGAAACTGCACCAGCCAGCGCGTAACTTTCCAGCTCCGATCAATTTGGAAGCTGCAGCGAATGAGATGCGCCGTCGCCGTGGATATTCCCCCACGGAGCAGCACCAAGGCGCAGCCCATCGCAGCCGGACTGGCCAGCTGCAGCACCTGCAACTGAAACGCCAGCCAAACGGCAACGGCAGCCAGGGCACACTTGGCCAGCTTGTTGGGGAAGAGGGCCGCAAATGGTTCGGGCAAGCCGCGCGCATGCGCATAGCCATAAATGCCGCCAATGAGATAGGAGAGCATGCGCACCAGGGGACTCGTGTACAGCCAATCGCCAACGCCGTACATGGCTTCAATTGTGCTGGGCACATCCAGCACGATCTGCAGCAGCACCGTGTACAGCACATTGGCCAAAAGCAACATCAGCACCAGACGACGCACTAGCTGTGGATGCCTGTAGAGAGTACAACTTGATTAATCGAGTCAAACGGAAAAACTTTCGAATAGTTCAACAATCTTTTCAGCTCAAACTTGTTCGAGCTAATCAAACCGAACGCGTTTCGAATAGTCCAACAATCTTTTCGGCTCGAGCTGTTCGATCGGAGAACGTAGTTCGAGCTGATCGAGTTCGCATCAAACTTGTTCGAGCTAATCAAACTGAACTCGTTTCGAATAGTCCAACAATCTGTTCAGCTCGACCTGTTCGATCGGAGAACCTAGCTCGAGCTGATCGAGTTCGCATCAAACTTGTTCCAGCTATTCAAACTGAACTCGTTTCGAATAGTCCAACAATCTGTTCAGCTCGACCTGTTCGATCGGAGAACCTAGCTCGAGCTGATCGAGTTCGCATCAAACTTGTTCCAGCTAATCAAACTGAACTCGTTTCGAATAGTCCAACAATCTGTTCAGCTCGAGCTGTTCGATCGGAGAACCTAGCTCGAGCTGATCGAGCTTGTTCGATCGAACATGTTGCTGGCTCGAGCAGTTCGAGCTGCGTTTGTATTCGCGTTGGAATAAATCAGTCTAAGCCGAAACAAAGCTCACCTCGTGTGCACGTAGAGCAGCAGCATGGCGATAATATGGAACTGCATATCGCAGCCCAGCGACCAGGTCCAATTGCAGCACATCTCCTTGATCGGATACAGATTCTGGACAAAGAGCAAATTGCGCCACCAATGCCGCGAGCAGAGCTCATCCAACGGCTCGATCAGATGAAAGACAGACGCCACTCGATGATGGCCAAAGCTCAGCACGGACAGCAGCACGACGAGCAACTGCAGCGGCGCCAGGCGCAGATACCGCTGCGCCAGCTGGCGGCCAAAGCGCCGCACATTGCCGCCCAGCGTGTCCGACGCAATGCAGCGCTGCAGTGCATCGTTGCCCAAGAAATTGGAGACGGTCAGAAAGCCGCTGGCAGAAGGAAACGAAACGGATTAAAGCTGAGATTAAATAGGAATAGGACATTCCGGGTACCTGACGACAAAGAAGACCTCCAAGGCGGCCGGCAGGTAGGCGTGCTGCGTGCAGAGCTTGGCCAGCTTTGCGGCCAGATTCGCGGAATGATTCACCGAAAAGAACTGATACCAGACAACATGAAAGCCGAGCAGCACGAAGGCGCTGCAGACGCGCAGTCCATGGATGACGGCGATCTCCGGCGTGCGGCCCGCTCCGGGCAGTTGCCACAGACGCCGCCAATTGTTGGCCACATCGAAGCAGGCCAGCAACCGGCTGGAGCCGGCCCAGCGGCTGCGCCCCAGCAGCGGGAGCAGCAGCAGCAACAGCAGACTAAAAGCCAGCAGCAGAAGCCAGCGAAAAGCCAGGCGACCCGGCGCCGGCTGCTTCGTGTAGACCAGCTCGGGCCGCAGCTGCAGCCGTTCCAGCCGTTCCATCCGCTGCCCAGCTGCAGTCAACGTCTCGCGCAGCAGCTTGTCCAGCTGCAGGGGATCACAGCTGTGCGGCACACAGAGCCCGATGTGGAGCAGCGGCGGCTCCTTGAGGCTCAGGGTCAGCTGCCAGGGCGAGTTGGCCCGTAGATACACCACACGATAGTCGTGGACGAAGGGCGCCCGCTGGCGCAGCAGCTGCTCCTGGCGCTGGGTAAACACCTGAAGCAGCTGCTCGTTGAGCGAGCGACAAGTCCAACGATTGCCCAGCCAAAAGCTGTTGCCCAGCATGAAATTGTGATAGCCGCTGCCGGAGGCATCAAAGGCTGCAAAAGATTAATTGCATGAATTGGGAGATCAGAGCAAGTGCCTAACCGAGCCCCAAAGGGGCTGTGTTGGGATATTCCCATTTCAGAGCCGGGAAATGTTATCCTAATCCTAAAATCCTAAAATAGACGGACAGTTAGACGGACAGACAATCGGACAGTTAGACGGAAAGATAGACAGTAAGCCGGACAGATAGACGGACAGATGAGCGGATAGTTAGACCGGAAGATAGACGGACAGTTAGACGGACAGACAATCGGACAGTTAGACGGACAGATAGTCGGACAGATGAACGGATAGTTAGACCGGCAGATAGACGGACAGATAGACGGACAGATAGACGGACAGATAGCCGGACAGATAGCCGGACAACTAGACGGACAGTTAGATGGACAGACAAACGGACAGATAGCCGGACAGTTATACGGACAGATAGCCGGACAGTTATACGGACAGATAGACGGACAGTTAGACGGACAGATGAAGAGATAGTTAGACCGGCAGATAGACGGACAGTTAGACTGATTGATAGACGGACAGATACACGGACAGATGGACGGACAGATAGACAGACAGATAGACGGGCAGATAGACGGAAAGATAGAGGGAGAGATAATCCGACAGTTAGACGGACAACTAGACGGACAGATAGACGGACAGACAATCCGACAGTTATACGGACAGTTAGACGGACAGTTAGACGGACAGTTAGATGGAAAGATAGACGGACAGTTAGCCGGACAGATAGACGGACAGATAGTCGGACAGATGAACGGATAGTTAGACCGGCAGATAGACGGACAGTTAGACGGACAGATAGACGGACAGATGGACGGACAGATAGACGGAGAGATATACGGGCAGATAGACGGAAAGGTAGACGGAGAGACAATCCGACAGTTAGACGGACAACTAGACGGACAGATAGACGGACAGACAATCCGACAGTTAGACGGACAGTTAGACGAACTTGGCTAGTTCGAACCAGCGGGTCGTCCTACCTTTCAGCGCCCAGCTGTGCCCGTGCTGCCAGGCGTTATGGAGCTCTCGCAGCTGCTCCACACAGGTTGTCGTCTCTCGCGTGGCATTGCCCGCCGCCAGCTGCGTCAGGTCCAGCAGCAGCGAGCCCGACTCCAAGCCGCCGACCAGGTCAGACTGCGTCGCAAGCAACGCCAGCAGGAACAGCATTAACATCATCCGGATATTTGTTGTCCGCCCGCAGCGAATGTCGTTCGAATACTACTCGCGAATACTACTATAGCGGCTGTTGGGAATATCGTTGAACTTTGATCCTTGCACTTCAAGCGGGCATTCGCAGCGCCCATTTATGCATTGCGCGACCCCATCAAAAGTTTGAACTCGACTAAAAGCAATGCCATTTGCTTCACAATTAAATAAAGTTATTAAAAAAAAAAACAAGTAAGAGATTCTAGTCGGGAGCTCCCGACTAGTTGATACCCTGAACCCTCTTATATGATTCGAACTCATAACTGGCTGCACTACTTTCCGCCGCCTCTACTCAATATCCACACCAATAAGTTGACGTGTTGATAGAATTCAAAGCAGACGCGCATGAATGTGTGTGTGTACATCTATACAGAAATTCTTGGAATTTGCGCTAGCTGCTGCTAACACGTGCGCACAAAACTTTTGTGTTTCTTAACCGATCTTAATGAAATTTTCGACAATACATCTTACTGTGCCATAGACTATTTGGGTATTCTCAAAATGTCAATTGCACTTAAATTGTGGCTTAAATTGGTGGGCAATACCAGTTGGATTATTAACTTGATTTATAGCTTTAGACAAACGGACATGGCTAGATCGACTCGGCTATTGATTCTGATCAAGAATATATGCTTCCTACTGCCTGTTACATACATTTGCACAAATACATTATACCCTTTTTAGCCATTTTTAATGGGTTGAGGGTATAAAAAGCGACTATTTTTGACACGTGGCATATTTAACACCCTTCCGCGCATTTGGCTCTGGATTGCCCTTAGATAAAAGCTTGATATACGAATGATTTTTCCTATACGAGGCAGATAATATAATAGACGAATTTAGATAAAAGAATAAGGCCTCGCAGATATCGTGTGGAACTTTTGAAGCTTGTGAATTGCTAAGTTAGGTAAAAATATCTTGAGATCTATAAAAACATTTTCCATACAAAAACTTACTCTTCAAGCGATTCTTCCTATACAGCTATATGCTATTGTAGAATTTACAAGTTTCGGTTCAGATATTTACATATTATATTATATATATTATTATATCAATACGGAGAATTAAAACCCTTGCAGACATATGCCTTTGCTCGCAAATGCTGAGTTCGATTCAAATATATATTTAATATATATTTATAAACAGAATATTTTCCTATGATTGCTTCGATTTTGATTCGATTTCGACATATATCTACCTCGACCCTCTACGAGGATATCAATGTACAAGAATTTAAATTTCTTACACTGTGAATTAGAATTCCCAACTGGTGCGTGCAGGGAGAAAAAAAAAACGAAATGTTTCCGTTGCAAACTGAAATCAATTTGAAGTTTTCACACTCGGTTTTTTGTAATTGTTTATTTTGGCACTTTATTTTTTGTTGTCTTTTTATTATTATTTTTTATTTTTAATATTATTATAGTTGCAAACTTGGAATTGGTTTATTAGGCAAATTATCATTAAGTATGTTGTAAATAATTAAGTATTTAATTTATTGCCCATTATGAATTAATTAAGTACGTTAAGTGGTAAGTTGGGTAAATTAATTAATGCATTAATTAGTTAGTGGCGCGTCACAAAATTTCAACGTTATCCATATAACAAAAACGTTACAAATAAATTGGTTACAATTAGTAAAAAAAAAAACTAAAAAAAAAAAATTGTTTTTTAAATATATGCATATATATATATATATATATTCTTGATATAAATCAGGGAATATGTTGGCCAGCAGCAAGGAAGGGGGCAGGGGGCAGGGGGGAGGGGGGGTTGAGGGGGGCCTTTCATATTTATTTGCCGCTTGTCAAATGAAACTGAAAGCCGCATTCGGGCGCAGTGTTGCCAACTGCCGCAAAGAACAGCAGAAGCCAGTGTTGTAAAAATAACTAAAAAAAAAAAAAAAAAATAAACAGTGTGGCAAGCATTTGTCATTGGGCTTAGAGATGGGCGCGGCTCGTGCTGTTTTTCTATTAACTATCGTTAAGCATAACACTATGCAAGAAATCTAGCTTTTTTTCTTTATAGCTATATGGCTGCAGGCTAACTTTACTGGTAAATTGTGATTGATTTTTTTTTTTAAAAATAGTTCCAAAAATTTTTTCTCAATCCTAGCTCGAACTAACCATAACACTATGCAACAAATCGAACCTTTTTTTCAGCGGCTGCGGCTGTTTTATTTTTTTTTTTTTGGCAGTAAAAAGCTCCTAAACAAATAGGCAAATAATTATTGTTAGTTTATCGGAGGTTATCTTTTTTTTTTAAATAATAAAAAAAAAAAGTAAAGGCTTGACTTGTTGCATAGTGTAATTTGTAACATTAGTTCGAGATAGTGCCAAGACTTTAAAATTGCTGTAAAAAAAAGGTTTTTCAAATGAATGTGCTCTTTGTACAGTTACGCAGAAAAAAGGCTAAATGTGTAGCACAGTGTTATTTGTAACGATAGTTCGTGGTAGGCTAGAGATTGGCTGCGATATTCTGTTAAAAATTTAGCGATTTCTTTATCAAAGCAAATAAAATGTGCTCGCTTTATTTTGGCCAATAAAGATTGCAGCTAAAGGCAGTAGAAAACAAGCTAAATTTGTTTCTAACGATAGTTCGAGATGAGCTTCAGATTGGCCGTGATATCGATAGTTCGATATTAAGCTGAGATTAGCTGCGACAATGGCTAAATTTTTTAGCGGTAAAAAGGCTAATTGCCAGAAAGGGCTTCATAAAAGCTAAGTGCACTAGTCTGAAAACAAATTCAAGAAACTAAACAAAAAATATCAAAAAAAACATTATCTTTTTTTATAGTTTAGCTTTATATCGAGCTGAAATAGCGGGAAAAAGGCTAGTTGCCAGAAAGGGTTTAATAAATGATAAGTGCACTATTTACACAAAAAAAATAATTTAAAAAAAAAATGTCTGAAAACAAATTCAAGCAGCTAAACAAAAAATATCAAAAAAATATTATCATCATTTTTTTAATATATTTTTTTGATAACATTTTTTTTTTTAATTTTTATTCTTTATTGACACATTTTTTTTACAAATATTTTTTTGAAAATGTTTATGTCAATAAATAATAAAAATTAAAAAAAAAAATAAATATATTATCAAAAATATATTGAGAACAAAAAAAAAAAAGAGTATTTGTTTTTTCCACGCCCAACTCTGGTTGAGATGCCCAACAGAAAAAAAGAAGCTAAATCCGCTAAAAATATGCAAAACTGTTGAGGGAGCTGTGTGAGTAGACGAATTTAGCTGGAAAGTAGCTACTCTAATTGCTAAAAAAGAAAAGCTAAATCCGCTAAAAATATGCAAAACTGTTGAGGGAGCTGTGTGAGTAGACGAATTTAGCTGGAAAGTAGCTACTCGAATTGAGATGCCCAAAAGAAAAAAAGAAGCCAAATCCGCTAAAAATATGCAAAACTGTTGAGGGAGCTGTGTGAGTAGACGAATTTAGCTAGAAGTGGGAAGGCGAGCGAGAGCACAGAGTGCGAGTGAGAGAGAGAGAGAGAGAGAGAGAGAGAGAGAGAGGGAGAGAGGGAGGGAGAGGGAGATAGCTGCTGGGCATGGGAAGGGCAAAGGCAAAGGCAAAGGCATCATTTGCGCTGGCGTAGCTCAATGATTGTGGCGCCGGAGCCGCGACGCAGCTGCTGCTGCTGCTGCTGCTGCTGCTGGACATGATGATGATGATGTTGCTGCTGCTGGAGATGATGATGATGATGCTGCTGATGCTGCTGGAGATGATGATGATGCTGTAGATGCTGCTCGTCGGCATAGAGCAGACGCTTGCTGTCATCGCTGCTGCGTCGGACAATGCTCGCCGTATCCTTGTTGAGCTCGACGGGCAACGGCGGCGATCTGGAGTCTAGCGAATATTTTGGCTGCAACGGATATTTGCGGCTGCGCTGGCCATAATCATCGTCGTCGCCATCGCCATCGCCATGGAGCACCCGATAGAGATCGGGCGCCTGCTGGTGCAGATTGCGCAAATATAGCTGCTTCTTGTTGACATGGAGATCATCTTCCTCCTCGTTGCTATTGGCAACTATTTTGGTCAGATCCTTTTGGCTGCGGCTGATCAGGTTCACAATCGACGGACTCTTCAGGCCGCTCCTCAGCGAGTTATCCTTGCCGCCCCCCGCATACAGATGCGGATTCGATTTGTATGCCTGCGACTGCGACGCCGACTGCAACGGCGACTGCAACGGCGACTGCAAGGGCGACGGCGACGGCGACGTCTGCTCGTGGCGGCTGCTGGTGTAATTGTTTCTGGTCAGCTTCTCGATGTAGATGGGACTGGGATCGTTGCCGCCGTTCATGCCGTGCACATTGAAGCTCTTGCTGCGATTTAGGACCTTGGCATAGGTGCGCGCCGGCTTGGCGGGACCCAGCTCCGATTCCCTTGCCGGCGGCTGCGTCTGGCCGATCTGTCGCCGGCCGCCGCCGCCGCCGCCGCCGCCGCCGCCGATCTTCTCCAGCGTCTGGGGATAACGTTGCGCCCGATATGGCGCCGGTTCGTGCAGCTTGCGCGGCAGCGTCTGCGCATGCCGATAGTCCGGCTGCACGTGCAGATTGGGCGTCGAGCCGCTAAAGCGCTGACCGTGCTTCTGATAGCGACCCAGCGTCGTTGTTGTCGTCGACGTCGGCGCCGGCGTCGGCAGCGGCAGCGCACGCGTCTCATAGTAATCCTCGGCCTCGTAGCGCTGTCGCGTCTGCTGGCGATTCCGCTCGTAGATGTTCTCCTTGCCGTACAGCGTGCTCGAGTAGGGATCCTCGCCCAGATAGTAGCGCTGGCGCGGACTCATCGCCAGCTCCTCGCCCCCCGCCGGCGCCGGCTGCTTTGGCTGCTGCTGCGCCGACAGGCTCGACGGCGTCTCCGACTGTTCCGATCCGTTGCCCCCAATATGCCCGTCAATCACATTGTATTGCTGATAGGTGGCCACGCCCTGTGCCGCCGCCGGCTGCTGGGCGGGCTGCTTTGTGGGCGACTGTTCACGGGATTTGCCATTGGCGGCGCTTTTCATGCGAAACTTGCGCTCGGCGCTCGCTGAACGAATTTTGCTGACCAGCTTGCGCAACGAATTGCCAATCACTTGGCCCATTTTACTCGGCTTGCTGGCGCTCAGCGTGGACAGATTCGAGTTGGAGTTCGCCGAGCTGTTGCCCGGACGCGGATAGCTGCTGCTGGTCGCGGCGGCGGGCGCAAATCTGGTGCGCTGCTGCTGCTTGCGGCTGAGCGTGAGGCTGCTGCTCGACGGCGGCGGCTCCGGATGCATATAGTCCACCTGCGGCGAGGAGGAGCGACTGCGACTGCGGCTGCGACTGCGCGGCGGCGGCGAGTAGTCCGGCGGCGGCTCCAGCTGTGTGTGCCCCGCCAGCTTCACGGACTGCCCGTGACTGTGGGCGTGGTTGTGGTTGTGATTGTGGGCGTGGTTGTGACTGTGACTGTGCTCGCCCAGCTTCTTCTCGATGGCACGTCGTCGCTGCGGCACCGTCGGCCGTCCCAGATTGCTGCTGCTGCTGCTTGTCGCAAACTCCGGCGCCGACAGCGGCTGCGGCTGCGTGTGCGTCTGCGGCTCATAGCTTCTGCCACGCCCATTGGCATGAGAATGTGCAGCCAGGCCGTTAATGGGATTGCTGCTGCTGCGTCCATGGCCATGCGCCTGACCGTAGGCCACGCGCTTTAGCGACGGCTCCTCCGGCCGCAAAGCCGGCAGAGGAGCTGCTGCCGCTGCCGCTGCCACGACCAACTGTTGACGGATGAGGGGCGGCGCGGGGCCCGGTATGGCATCGAGATCGTCGAGTGCATCGCGTGAACCGCGCGCCGATCTGGCCAGAAACTGTGACGACAAGCTCTGACGCTTCTGCTGCAATATATCCTCGCGGCTGACATAGCTGTCGCTGGATACAAGCTGCTGCTGCTGCTTCTTCTTCAGCCCGTTGCGGCGTATCGTCTCCTGAAGATCCTCGCGAAATGCCTGCGTGGAGAAGTGCTGCTGCTGCTGCTGCAGCAGCGGCGGCGCCTCCTGCCGCTCCGCCCAGTTCGAGATGCCCTGATAGTACTTGGGCCGACCCACCTGTCCATCCTTTACATATTTCCGATCGAGCGTTGTGGCCAGACGTTCCCGCTCCCGTTCCCGCTCCCGTTCACGTTCGGCGCTGCGCGGCAGCGTCTGCGTATTGGCAGCTGCAAGAGCGGGCGACGCCGCCGCCGCCGCCGGCTGCGACGTCGGCTGCGATTTGATGGTCACATTGAAGTAGCTCTTCTTGGTTGGCTCCACGTCCAGCTCGTTGGCCTCGTCGTCGCGGGAATCGTTGGACGCTGTCGATTCGCTGCCAAAATGCGATTCGAGCCATTTCATCGTCTCGCCCTTGCGCGTCTCCTCCTCGCGATCAAAGTCGAGCGGCCGCTTGGTCAGCGCATCCTTGCGATCCGCCAGCAGTGCGACCTCTGCAGGAATAAAATTGATATATAGGGTATTAATATAGGGTGATTTTTATGTAAGAGGCCGAAGAAAGCATCTCCGACCCCATTAAGTATATATGTACATTACTGATCAGCATCAATAGCCGAGTCGATCTAGCCATGTCCGTCTGTCTAAAACTATAAGTCAAGTCAATAATCCAACTTGTATTGCCCACCAATTTAAGCCACAATTTAAGTGCAATTGACATTTTGAGAATACCCAAATAGTCTATGGCACAGTAAGATGTATTGTCGAAAATTTCATTAAGATCGGTTAAGAAACACAAAAGTTTTGTGCGCACGTGTTAGCAGCAGCTAGCGCATAATCCAAGAATTTCTGTATACATGTACACACACACATTCATGCGCGTCTGCTTTGAATTCTATCAACACATCAACTTATTGGTGTGGATATTGAGTAGAGGCGGCGAAAAGTAGTGCAGCCAGTTATGAGTTCGAATCATATAAGAGGGTTCAGGGTAACCCCTAGTCGGGAGCTCCCTACCAGAACCTCTTGTTTTTTTTTGTGATCGGCGCTTGACTCACCTTTTTGCTGCTGCTGCTGCTGCTGCTGCTGGGAGCGACGCAGCTTGCGCATGCGATCCGATAGGCTGTCCCAGTCGCCGGGTCGCTCCAGGGAGCCGTCCTTTTCCATTTGGGTCTGCTCCGCCGCGTAGCGCATCTCGGTGGCGACCAATTTGCCGTCGGCTATCAGATCGACATGCTGTTCGTCTCGCTGCTTGAAAAATCGTTGACTCGCCGCCGTTGTGGTCAACTGTTCGACGGGCCGGTCCGCAAGCTCATTGCCGGACGTCGGCGTCCGGTTTGCCAGATCCGGCTCGTCGCCGTCAAGTATTATCTCGTGCTCGGTAGTCCGTTTACTTTCGGTTACCAGTGTGCCGTCCTCTTGGGCGAGGCAACGCTTTTGCGTATCCTCCGAATCGATGGTCTTCCGCGATCGGCTCGTATTCGCCAACAGCTGCGGCCCAAGCGCCACCAACTGCTGCTGACTCTCCGGCGAGCAGAGAACCGCCTCAAGATCCTCAACACCCTCCCGAACGGCCTTCACGTAGGTCTGAAAACAAAAGAACAGAGTAGGGTGTCGATAAAGATCACATGCACATAACTAATGTATATCAGGATCGGGTAAGGAATCAGCTGAGGATCATTTGCAGATCAGATGAGGATCAGGCGAAGATCAAGAAAAACAAAATATCACATTTATTAGATGAAGATCAGATAAAAAGGCATTTAAAAAATAGCTGAAGATCAAAAAGGATCATTTAGAGATCAGATGAGGATCAGGCGAGGACCAACAAGAACAAAATATCACATTCATTAGATGAAGATCAGATTCAATTTAGTTTCACCCGATCCATTTAAACGAAAGAGCGTTTAAAGATCAGATGAAGATCAGATGAAAATCAGATGAAAATCAGATGAAGATGAGATGAAGATCAAAGACATAATAAATATCACATTAATTAGATGAAGATCAGAGGAAGATCAGATTAGATATACATTTCGATTATTAACAGATCAGATCCATTTTAGACGAAAGAGCATTTGAAGATCAGAAGAAAAGCAATAATTCAATGTAATTAACTTAATAACACATTCAGATAAGGACCTATATGATAATGTTGTCCGATGTTGATAGGATTTTGCATGTATATGAGGAGCATAGTAAAACTAATAAATGCCGAGTTTGGTCAAGATATCTTGATAAACAAAAAAGTTTTTCATACAAGAACCTTCTTTTCGGCCGATCGTTCCTATGGCAGCTATATGATATAGTGGTCCGATGTTGATGGGATTTTGTATATATATAAGGAGCATAGTAAAACTAATAAATGCCGAGTTTGGTCACGATTTATTGATAAACAAAAAAGTTTTTTATACAAGAACCTTCTTTTCGACCGATCGTTCCTATTGCAGCTATATGATACAGTTGTCCGATGTTGATGGGATTTTGTATATATATAAGGAGCATAGTAAAACTAATAAATGCCGAGTTTGGTCAAGATATCTTGATAAACAAAAAAGTTTTTCATACATCCACCTTCTTTTCGACCGATCCTTCCTATTGCAGCTATATGATACAGTTGTCCGATGTTGATGGGATTTTGTATATATATAAGGAGCATAGTAAAACTAATAATTGCCGAGTTTGGTCAAGATATCTAGATAAACAAAAAAGTTTTTCATACAAGAACCTTCTTTTCGACCGATCCTTCCTATGGCAGCTATATGATATAGTGTTCCGATCCAGCTGGCTCCGATATATGTACTGCGTGCAACAGAAAGAGGCACGTCTGCAAAGTATCATAACGATAGCTTTAAGACTGAGAGACTAGTTCGCATAGAAACAAACAGACGGACGGACAGACAGACGGACACGGCTATATCGACTCGGCTGTTGATACTGATCATGAATATATATACTTTTTGGGGTCGGAGATGTCTCCTTCTATGCGTTCCACAAATGAGACATGAAAACAAGTTTTGAAGAATTGTATGAAAATCAAGTTTGGCTAAAGATCAAAATGCGATCAATTCTGTTTAAAAATTAGCTAACCAATAAATGGAGATCAATTTGGGAACAGAGCAAATTCAAAGCCTAGCTAAAGATCACTTGAGAAACAGCTGAGACAAAGACAACGAACTTGGGAAGATCAGATGAAGATCTTATGAATGAGCTTCTTTTTCAAATAAGCCTAGAAATTTGAATAAAATCAGCTAAGGTTCAAGATCAGCTGAAGATCGATTCAAGCTCAAGATCGGTTCGTATCGGCTAGGAATGGATATCTCTATGCCATTTGTAGATCTCTTCAGTTAAGAACCTGAATTGAACGCGTTTTTGTAGAGGTCAGTTCGAAGAACAATTAAGTTTAATATTTGACCCAAAAGCAGAATTGAATTAACATAGTCAAACGACTTTCACACAGTTTCAACAAAGTTTGTTGTGGCTCATGAAATGTGTAACGCATAGAAGAAGACAGCTCCCCAACCCACAAAGTATATATAAGTATATAGTCTGGATCAGGATCAGCAGCCGAATTGATTTAGCCATGTCCATCTATCCGTCCCTTCGTCTGTTTGTTTCTATGCGAACTTGTCTCTCAATCTGAATTCTTTCAGGCAGAGCATCTGCAGGCAGAGCATCTGTTGGAACTGACCTGATCGGACCGCTATATCATATAGCTGCCATAGGTATAATCGGTCGGAAAGTAGGTTCTTCTAGGCAAGACTTTTTTGTCTATCAAGATATATTTGCCAAACTCGCCAGTTATAAGTTTCACTTTACGCTGTATATACATTCAAAATCATATCAACATCGGGCCACAATATCTGATACTATATCTATACACTATATATATATATATAGATAGCTGACATAGGAACCTTCGCAACGTAGGTTCTTCTATGGAAAACAGTTTTATCAAGATATCTGAGCCAAACTCGGCATTTATAAGTTTCACTCTGCTCTTCATATATATATATATATATGCCGAAATCGGATCAAGATCGGAGCTCTGCACTCTCTCACATATCTGCCAAAGGCAAATGCCTAGAAGGGTATTAGATATTCCAGCTTACTCGTAACAAAGTTCGGAAAACAATTCAGTTATTGTGTGGCGAAGTCGATTATCTGGTTAACTCAGCTGGCCAAAACTTATATATAGAAGATTCTATTCGAACAAAGAGAATAGCGAGAAACAAAACAATTGAAGTTAACAATTTTCTAACATTTGATTGTTCTTTTTCTCTTGCACAGCACGCTGAATGCTGATCGGGTTGCATCATCGACATGGTCGATGCGTCTGTGAGTGCTTCTTGCGGCAAGTCCATGCAATTGCCACACACACACACACTCGTACACTCGTACACACACACACACACACAGGCACTTGGAGAGCGGCAGTTGGCATGGTATTCAGAGCAAGACAGAAACCACAATGCACCACATTTCGTTTTGCAAGTGCTGTCGAAAAGTAATAATAGAAAACAAGTAAGAGGTTCTAGTCGGAAGCTTCCGACTAGGGGATACCTCTTCTTCTTCGGACAGGCGATAGGTATAAAATGAAAGATACTCGATATATATATATCTAGCTCATATTATTTTTTATTGATTACTTGGAAACGGGGCAAGTTATCGAATATCGGAAACAAACTCGATCTGCGCGGGCACTAGGAGAACCTACAGCTAAAATTTCAAGTCTCTAGCTCTTATAGGTTTCGAGAGCCTTGCGTTCATACACACAGACGGACGGACGGACAGACAGACGGATGCTGATCAAGAGTATATACACTTTATGATGTCGGAGATGTTTCCATTTTCAATGGGTTCGGCGTATAATAATAGAAACTGAATGCATGCAAATGGAAAATAACGGTAAGAATGCGACACCTGGATGAGCAAGAAGAAGCAGCAGCAGCAGCAGCAGCAGCAGCACTGACAGCAGCGACTGCGTCAAGGTCAGGCGCCTTTCGGTGGGAGTTGGTCGGATGACAGGCAAAATGCACGCATCGCTGCAACTCGCCGCCGCTTGAGGATCATCATCTGCACCAGCTGACCACAAACAAAGCCAGATTCAGTTGAACATAACTCGTTGTCGTTGTCGTTGTCGTTGTTGTCGGCGACCTTGTTTAACGGTAACGCGCGTAGAAAGTGTTTTTGTTTTGTTTTATTTTGTTTTTTTCGTAGCTTGAAGCTGAAAAACTTGAATGTCAGCAACAGAAAACAACAATAACATGAAACTTTGACTGCTCATTGAACGATCGATGGACACGATTCCATTAAAGCAGCTGAAAAAAAAAACAACCACATTAAAAGCAAATACACACACCGAAAAGTAAAAGCGCTCAAATACCCTGCAAAACGGCCACAGTTCAGTTTCGGCGCCAGAAACTGAAAGTGTTTGGTTGCACGCAAAAAAAAGATGCCAAGTTTTATGGCGCCAGCTCGTTGCTAGAGCTCATAAATGGGCAAGTCCAGCTGGAGGCGAGCAGAGGCAAAGGGTATCTGCGGCATGCCGAACATTTGATACCCTTTGCAGACAGATATGTGGGAAGAGTGCAGAGCTTGATTCAAATATACATATATACACATGTAAATATATAAGAGCACACAGATCGTGCCAATGGCAGCTATATGATATAGTGCTCCGATCTTGATCCGATTTCGACATATATATATATATGAAGAGCAGAGTGAAACTTATAAATGCCGAGTTTGGCTCAGATATCTTGATAAAACTGTTTTCCATAGAAGAACCTACGTTGCGAAGGTTCCTATGTCAGCTATCTATATATATATATAGTGTATAGATATAGTATCAGATATTGTGGCCCGATGTTGATATGATTCTGAATGTATATACAGCGTAAAGTGAAACTTATAACTGGCGAGTTTGGCAAATATATCTTGATAGACAAAAAAGTCTTGCCTAGAAGAACCTACTTTCCGACCGATTGTGCCTATGGCAGCTATATGATATAGCGGTCCGATCAGGTCAGTTCCAACAGATGCTCTGCCTGCAGATGCTCTGCCTGAAAGAATTCAGATTGAGAGACAAGTCCGCATAGAAACAAACAGACGAAGGGACGGATAGATGGACATGGCTAAATCGATTCGGCTGCTGATCCTGATCCAGACTATATACTTATATATACTTTGTGGGATGGGGAGGTGTCTTCTTCTAGGCATTACACATTTCATGACCAAATTATAATACCCTCTACAAAAGGTATAAAACCACCCGCATACTTTCTCAGAGGGTATTCGAATTTGGTAACAAAATGTTTAGCACATAGCAAAAGTCTTCTGAAGCATATAAGGTATATGGATATAGTATATATATATATATATATATATATATATATATAGATATTCATAGATAATATATATATATAGATAATCTTCAGCTTCAAGATTCTCAGGCCTAACATGGGCGTAAACCTTTGATTCCAACACTTGCTTCTTTATTCGATGCATTTAAAATCTATTTTTAAATAGAAATTGGGCAGATTTCAGTTTTCCACGGGCGTATACTTAGTGGAACGATATATCTA